GAATCCTGAAACATTGCCTTGAAAAAGGGCTCTTTACAAAATCTCAACATGAATTTCTTCCAAGACGCGGCTGTACAACCAACCTACTAGAGGCACAGAACATTTTAACAAAAGCACTATTTCATAATCATGCCATAGATGTGATTCAGACTTTGCTAAAGCTTTTGATAAAGTACCTCACCAACATCTTCTTTTAAAACTTGATGCATACGACATACATGGAACACTGAAGTGGATAACTGACTGGTTAAAAAATCTAAAACAGAGAGTGGTCATCAGCAATAGCAAGTCTGAATGGGTAGATGTTACTAGTGGGGTTCCACAAAGTTCAGTGTTAGGTCCACTTTTGTTTCTGATTTATATAAACGACCTTCCAGACAACATGGTGCATCATATAAAGATCTACGCAGATGATTGTAAGATTTTAGGGGTAATCAAAGCAGAAGATGATGCAATAAAACTACAAGACATAGATCATGCAGTCGAATGGTCTAAAAAGTGACTCATGTATTTCAATCTAAACAAATGTAAAGTCATGCATGTTGGTTACTCAAATAAATCAGTTCGCCTTTACTCAATGCTTGACATATATGGTAATCGAATAGAACTTGGAACAACAATTATTGAATGTGACTTAGGTGTTCTAACATCAAACGACCTTAAAGTTACGCATACAAGTTCTATGAACATTTTTAAAAGTCGATTTAATGCATTTTCAAAGTTAACCAGGATACACTGTGTTTCCCAATTTATATCATCATAGTGGTGCCTGATGTTGCACCACTTCGTCAAAGTTTACAATTCAAACTTTATTCTTTTATGGGTTGTTGTTTTTTTTAAATGGCTTTTAAACTTTTGATTTATGAATAAACATATTCAAATTCATAATTGTTTTAAAAGTTTTTCTTCATGACTATATAAATATCATAATATACATTATTTCATCAAAAAAATAAAAGTACATTCAGATTTTATCATAATAAAAAAAGCAAAGAGAGATATTTTTCTTAAACAAATCTTGCATCTTGGATGAAGTATTAGAATATATAATTGAATAAAAAATATTATTGAAAATAATAACAAAAATTATTTCTAAAAAAATGTGATATATCAAAATTAGTGCAATAAAAAGTAAAAATCTGAACTATAATTTTATTTAACAAGAGTTTATAAATTTATGTGATAGTGTATTCTACAAACAAAATTCTTAATGTTCATATGTAGAATTTTATTATAAAAGTCAAATATATTATGTTATCATTGTGAATTATAAAAGTCAATTATATTATGTTATCATTGTGATGTTTTGTGTTGATAGACAGCTTGGCTTATCTTCCCCTGCTGTTAATTGTTGAAAATGATTAGAGCTTAGTTTCATTATTGGAACTCACTGCTTCTACTCATTTACTAAAAGCTGAAACAAAACATTTTATTATAAATATATTTTGTTTGTATCTCAATTTGATTTTTTACCTTTACTATTGTCAATAGGTTTGCTTTTTGTAACAAATTTAAAAGTTTTTCAACAAAGATGTTTATAATGCAAGCTACATACCTTTTTTGCATCAAATTAACAAGATTGTTAAAATTTCAACATCCAAATGGTAACTATTCTTTGCTTTAGGTTATTACACAACTTGGTTACTAATACACAACTTGATTATTTGATTGTTTATCCAAGCCCAATAAGTTTCAATTGGATTTGAATCTGGTGATCAAGCTGGCCAGGGCAAAAAATTTATTTAATTTTTTCATCCATGCTTTGGCTCTACAAGATGGGTGGGTAAATGCAAAATCTTTTTGAAACTGCTACCGTGAGATTCCATTAATCAAGATGTTTACTGATGGAACTAGGTTCTAAGTTCTTTTTAATTTTGTCTATAAAGGCACAGATGGTTGATTCACACATTATAAATGTTACACACACCAACTCTATTGAAAGCAGCCCCAAACACCACTTCCACTATAACCGCGTGATTTTAACAGCGCAATTACTGTAGTTTTTTTATTTAAACTTTTTGAAAAAGGACTTTACTTTTTCTATCTATCACTTCAATTTTTTTTTAATTACTTTCTTTTCCGAAGACCACCCAAACCTCTCCTTACACCATGCTTTCATCTTGTGAGCTGATCGCCAGCATGAGTTTTTTAACAGATGCAGAAAAATGGTAGCTCACAGTGAGGTTGATTCTATCAACAGCTGTAAAATATCAGAACATTAACAGGTTGCCATGTGCATGGATGGTGTCTCTGTTAATACTTTTATTGTGTGTTGCTGAAATCACATAAGGGACCCTAAGTTATGACTTTGGGTTAATTAGCAGGACTGAGACAACTGCATAGCTCATTGCTTGAGATACCAGGCTCTATCTAATACCAGGCTCTATCTATGAATCAGTCTCCTTCATTTGAAATTTAATGCCAGCGTACAAAAAAAAGCTGGCAGGATGGTCATTTTTAAGTTAGCCTGCGCAATTTAAAAATTTCATTTTGTCTGCTATTTAAAATAGCGAATAGAATGCTTTAAATAAATACAAGATAAACTAATTTAAAAAAAAAACTGGTAAAAAAAAGCCATATTTTATAAAAGTTGAACAAATAAACAAAATAGTTTTGTTGCAATTTAAAGCAAAACACTTTTTGGCAAGCGCTTTTATATGCACTAGCCAATATTTTTGCGGACAAGTGGGTGAGCCCAAAATGACTTAATAGCAATTCTATGAAGCCTTGTTTCATAAAAAACATTAACGTTTTTATTAAGTAAAATATCTCTAATGAACTAGAAGTTTTAAATGGTTTTTATTGAAATTGCTGTTAAATTAACAATTTCTTAACCTTGCATTTGCAAGGTTAAGTTATTGTGAACTTAACTTTCCAGATCCTGCATGACATTGAATGCCACCTGTCATTTTAATTGTTTCAGAGAATAACGACACAATTCTCTGAAATTTTTCATCTTTTTGCTATTTCTCTGTTATTGATCATAAGGCCATCCTTTATAACTGTTATTTGCCACTTTGTTGATTTACTTTCTGCTTTTTGACCAATTTCTGTGCATCATAACTTTTAAATCTCAACAAAATGTTTAAAAATGTGACTCAGATCCTCATAAACAATATTTTTATTTAATTTTTAGAAAATTGTCAAATTAACATCTACGTTAGTAAAATTAATAGAACAATTATGAACAGCAGTTTGGTTAAGGAGTAGAACAGATATCAAATGAAAAAGGTGTGTGCCAACTTTAATTTACAAAATTTTCTTGCATACTTATTGTATTTCTTCAATAAAATGAAATTTATAAAAAAGTAGCACAAAGTGAATATGTTATTTGAAGTGAAATAGTTTTCCTTTTATGCAAAGAAATAAATGAAACCTTTAGCAAATTTGCTTAGTTTTTTATAATGCTTAAAAAAAAAAAAATCAAATAATTTACTGCATCAATTATTTTTTAAACCACTACATATATATATATATATATATATATATATATATATATATATATATATATATATATATATATATATATATATATATATATATATATATATATATATATATATATATATATATATATATATATATATATATATATATATATATATATATATATATATATATATATATATATATATATATATATATATATATATATATATATATATATATATATATATATATATATATATATATATATATATATATATATATATATATATATATATATATATATATATATATATATATATATATATATATATATATATATATATATATATATATATATATATATATATATATATATATATATATATATATATATATATATATATATATATATATATATATATATATATATATATATATATATATATATATATATATATATATATATATATATATATATATATATATATATATATATATATATATATATATATATATATATATATATATATATATATATATATATATATATATATATATATATATATATATATATATATATATATATATATATATATATATATAATATATATATATATATATATATATATATATATATATATATATATATATATATATATATATATATATATATATATATATATATATATATATATATATATATATATATACAACCCTCGGAATTAGGAAAATTGAGGTTGGCAATAATTTGCCAACCTCAATCTTTTAGAGGTTGGTATCAGGTCGGCATCAGGTCCAAATTTTTTTGCCAACCACAAACACGTTTAGGTCGGAAGCTAGGTCGGCAATGCCGAATGCCGACCCTAATTCTGAGGGTTGTATATATATATATATATATATATATATATATATATATATATATATATATATATATATATATATATATATACATACAAGTATACAAACACACACACATACAAATACATAACTTACCAATGCAAAGATTGTTTTTGCTATCGAATTGAAAGCCTTCAATACAAGAGCAGATACCACTTCCATTTATTTTGGTGCATTTACTGTAAGGCATATTACAAGTTGTTCCACATTCATCTACAAAAAAAATTTTAATTTAAAATATTAAAAATTAGAGATTTATTATAGAATTATAGTTAAAGTGATTAGTTTAGTACGATTAGTGTGATTATTTAGTATAAAGTGATTATTTAGTAAGGTGTAATTATTTAGTATGAAGTGATTATTTAGTATGATATGATTATTTAGTATGAAGTGATTATTTAGTATGAAGTGATTATTTAGTATGAAGTGATTATTTAGTATAGTGTGATTATTTAGTATGAAGTGATTATTTAGTATGATGTGATTATTTAGTATAAAGTAATTATATAGTATGAAGTGATTATTTAGTATGAAGTGATTATTTAGTATGATGTGATTATTTAGTATAAAGTAATTATATAGTATGAAGTGATTATTTAGTATGAAGTGATTATTTAGTATGAAGTGATTATTTAGTATAAAGTGATTATTTTAGTATGAATCTTTTACAACTAATAAAATACAAACACATATACTAATATTTGTGACTTTGTTGTAAATAATTATTGCAACTAAAGTCTCAGGACAAGTAAATAAAAATTTACTCTGAACTACAAAATTATTAAATTAACTTTTATTTATCTACTTTTATTTATTTTGCCAGACCTTTGTCAAACATTAAACTAATCATAGCTAAAAATAAAGAGTAAGAAAAATACTTATTGTAGTTGGAGCTAGCGCTGTGGTAGTCTGTGCTTGTGTGGTGGTAGTTGGAGCTTGTGCGGTTGTAGTTGGAGCTTCTGTTGTGGTAGTAGATTTAGTTGATGTAAGATCTCCAGGCACCACAATTAAACTATATGAGGATGTGAATGTACTATTATCTAAAGCTATACCTCTAACAAATGTAGTGTAGGCAGCTCCTGTTTGAAGAGTGGGATTTGCTGAAATAAAAATAATAATTAACATCATAAATGAGAATTTAAAAAAATAGCAGTTAAAACACTTTAAAACAATAATTACAAAAACTCTACCTAAAATACTAATTGAACCAGCTGTAACTTAGTAACTACAGGTAACTATCTGTAGCTTAGTAAGTATTTGTGTTTATATAACAGACACAAAAGTAAGTATCAAAAAAGCAAATTTAAATATCAGAAGTATATGAAGTATATAAGAGTAAAACCATAATTTTTTTTTTTTAAAAAAAACAGCTTCTCTATTAGTTCACACTCTATTAGTTCACACTCAGAAAAGGAAATTAAAAAAAATTTTATTTTGCTCAAAAAAGCTAAATAAAAAATTCTTTCTAAAAATGATATGTGCATATTAGATACACAATAAAAAATGATATGTGCATATTTAGATACACAATAAAAAATGATATGTGCATATTTAGATACACAATTAGATGAAAGAGAAATAAGCATAATCTGTATTCTGTATATATATTTATATGTATATAAATGTATATACACACACACACACATATATATATATATATATATATATATATATATATATATATATATATATATATATATATATATATATATATATATATATATATATATATATATATATATATATATATATATAAAATTGTTGATTAAAAAAAATTACTATTTGACCCTTCTCCAACTGTAAAACTTGTGATGCTATTGCGTGCATCAATTACTCCTACTGTGTACAAATTATCAATGTGGTTGTTGATTTCAGTCCATGTGTATGAAGTTGAAGTTCTTGTTGGAAGAAAAGGTGACGATAACTTTACCAAGATGATGTAATAAGTACTAAAAACCCAAAAAAATTATTTACAAAATTGATTATCATTTTTAAAGTTGCACCTTGATGTAAATATTTTCCTTATATATATTACAATGCTTCAATGAATGATTTAAATAAAAACATTATTGATAATTCATTTTTTATTTGATGATTTTTTTTTTTTTTTATTGTAATCAAAAATATTGCTTAAATAGTTATAATTGCTTCATAATTTTTTTTTTTAATTTTAATGTTTTTAATATGTTTTTGGTAATATAATTTTCTAAAAAGTGGTTTATCAATTATCACCCACAACCATTCCATATACGTATTTTTATACATATAGTTATCCATAATTAAAACATATACTTGAAAATAAGTCTTTCAAAGTGAAAGATTACTGACTCCTGTAAGCAATCTAAATAGTTTATCTGGTCCATGCTGGTATAAATATAAATTAAAAATCTACGCCCAGCACGATGTAGATATTTTAATAAGTTACTCAGTTCTTTAAATGAGTACTGAACAACTAATTTTTTCAACCAACAACAATCTTTATGATCCATAAAACAGTTGATAGTTCAATGAGATAATAAATTTTCAATCAACAACAATGAGAATCTTTACAACTCACACAACAGTTGATAGTTTAAATAAATAGTAGGAAGACAAAAATAGTCATCACTTGATTCAGAAAATGATGACTAGTTAATTATTAAATACTCATACAATAGGTTAGGTTACATAAATGTAACATGGAATTAATTAAATATTATTATAAATTTCTGACATAATTACCTTGCCAAGGCAGAAGATCTTGCATTCCAGAAAGTTACTCATATACATTTAATTTCAAATAAAAACTTGCATAACTTTTTTTTATTAATAAAATTCATTTAAAAAAAAAACATTTTAAAACTTGCAAGTATTAGTCAATTAAAAATAAAAAGTAAATTAACTCTATAACAACATATTTGAATTCTATAACAACTGATTTGAATTCTATTACAATATATTTGAACTTCATAAAAACATGTTTAATTATAAATTAAACTTTTTAGGTATTTGTCAAATTTATTTTGTGGTTACAATTGATCTTTTTTAAAAAACTTCACTTTTTGATTAAGTTTGAGTCCACTGTAGTATTAAATAATTAAATATTGTAGTATTAAATAATGGTATTTAACCAGATATCATTTAAGTGGTTTTCCTGATCACAGGAATCAAATATGTCTATAAACAGTTGATCTAGAGCAACATTCTGTTAAGAAGTGGTACAACCCATTTTTACTATTTTTAGATTTTTACTATTATTACCATTTTTACATTTAAGCTACAACCCATTTTTCATTGTAGATGTTCTCATCACGTACAACATAACTTGTACAAGATGAGAACATCTTGTACAAACATAACTTGTACAAACATAATTATTTTTTTCATAAATTTTTAAAAAATTTTTTTAAACAAAGGAGTATTAAATCTTATCAATATAATGAGTTTCCCTGGCAACTATTATTAAAAAAAAAAAACTAAAAAAAACAAACAAACTAATTGGTGCATTAATTAGTGGGTAAATGTTAGGATTTATTTTTGTGTCACTTTTTTTGACATTAATTATTTTATTATTTTATTTACAACTAAAGTACACTTCAGTAAAAAACAAATTAAACTTAATTTTTTTAAAAAATCTACAAGAATGCCGAAAGTTTTTCATAAAAAATATTTTTAAGTTTTTTTAATGAAAGACTTGCTTGTTTTATTAGAACAAAATTTAATAAAAATAATCTAAAAAAGTAATTAAATCAAATAGAACAAAAAAATAAACAAACAAATAAAACTTACACAATTGGGCTTTTAGTAGGAAAGTTTGGAATGATTATTGTAAAAGACGTAGAAGTTACTGCTGTCGGAACTAAAGAGGTAAAAAAACATCAATTTTTATTTTTGATTTGTAAAAAAATGTTATGAAATTATAAAAAAAAACTTTTTAATAAATAAATTTTTTTTTTTATTATTTTTTTTTTTATTTAAATTTACCTCCTCAAGGCCAAGAAGGCCACTACAGACGAGGAGGCTACTTATTTGTGGTTATAACCCTCTCTCAACTCTATAACTCCGAAACACGAACCTTGATGAACAAGGCCGCTGCGCGGAGAAACAAGTTGAGCGCGGTACTACCAGGGACATGGATTTTAAATAAATAAAATAAATCTTCAACTGAATAAAATTAAAAAACTTCTGATAAATGAAAAATATTAAAAAAAAAGAAAAGTCATTAATTTTGTTTAAAAAAAGCAAAAACTCAAGGGAACTTAAAAGTCTTTAAAAAAAATATTTAACCATATAAACAGTTGTAACCATAGTAACATGTTGCTTAACTATTAATCAAACTTCCTTAAACTGAATTAAAAACAATTCTATTGTAAAAAAAAAAAAAAATTCAAAAGTTATGAATGAAAACAAACTTTTTAATATGCTTTGATTTTATTATTTATTGTTGAATTTAATTATTTGCTGTTGTATAACCAAGTAATAAATTGTTAAAATAAATAACTAACTAATTTTAAAAAATTAAAATATAAAGACACCATTTATTACAAGTGACTAACAGCTTGAGATTACCTTATTGAACATAACCATAAATTAATGATAAGGTTATACTAAAAATTCATACCTTGTAAACAACTTATTTTATCACTATGCAAAATGTATCCAGCCGGGCATGAACATGTTGCAATACCTGACACCATACTGCATTGGTATTCACAATACTTGAACAGACATAGGTCTTCAAAAGTTAAAATAAATTTTAAAATAATTAGTTATTATTTCATTAAATAAAAGTCTGAATAAAAATTTATACTTAAAAGGTTTAAATATTAAACTAATACCTTGCATGCATGTTATATTATCAGAATTCAACTTATATCCAGTTGGGCATGAGCATATTGCATTGCCAGATACCAAATTACAATAATATTGGCAACTTTTAACCAAGCAAGTATTTTCTTTAAATAAAAAAAACAGAAAAAAATTATTAACTATGAAACTTTTTCTTAAATATTTTTAGTTATTACAATAACAATGATCAGCGCTTGTAAATTAAAAAAACTTCTGACAGATGATTATAAAGAAAAAAAGCTTCTGTCATATTATTATAAAGAAAAAAAACTTCTGACATGATTTTAAAGAAAAAAAACTTTTGACAGATGATTATAAAGAAAAAAACTTCTGTCAGATGATTGTAAAGAAAAAAAACTTCTGTCAGATCATTATAAAGAAAAACAACCTCTGGCAGATAATTTTAAAGAAAAAAAACTTCTGACAGATGATTATAAAGAAAAAAAACCTCTGACAGATGATTATAAAGAGGAAAAAACTTCTTTCAGATGATTGTAAAGAAAAAAAACTTCTGGCAGAGATTATGAAGAACCAGAAATAACAGCACACATGAGCAGCAAATGGTAGCATTTTTAGGAAAGAGAAAAAAAAGATGATGAAAACTTGCAAACAGGTGCAAAATGAAAAGAGTAAATTTACAATGAGATTATTGTCTAGAAGAGAAAGGGCATTATTAGAGATTCATAGATCATCCAGGTCATATTTAAAAAATCTGGAAATTTGATTGGGTAAAATATCCGGAAAACATTTTCCCTTATATTCCTCCAAATTATGATTTCGGCGGAATTGTTTCCAATTTCGGAATTTTTTTTCTAACTTTATTTTATTTTTCTATGAGTGATGAATGAAAAAGTTAAAAATATATATATATATATATATGACAAAAACTTATACTTAAACTTTATGTATACAAAATGTTTTGGATATCCGGAAAAACCAAAATTTGAAAAAAATTTCCGGAATTACGGAAATATTAAGAAAAGGATAATCCCTGATTTAAGCCTAAATATATATATGGAATTGACAGTAAATTGTTTTTTTTTTTAATTCAAATTTATTTTACTTTGTTTAAATTTTTATCTTAGTTGTAATAGTACTAGTAATAGTTCATGACTAAACTTTATAAATATAAAAATGACTTAACGTTTAAAAATTAAAAAATTTGTATTCCTTTTTAGAATAATAATTTAAAATAAAATCGATGCATTTTTAAAATAAAAACTTGCAAATAACTAACATTCGAATTACCTGCAAATAATAATAGTTTAAAATAACTCTAGTGAACACAGATTTTTATTCAATTATAAAAAGGAAGTTTGATAATACCCAAGTAATTCAAAATTAATTTTTTTTTAATATCAAAACATTTTTTATAAAATATCTAAAAAATTTAAACTGAATACATAATACTAAAAGAAATTGTTTCATGAAATGCTACTTCTGTAATTATTTATGTTACATTAAACGAAGATTTTGGCAATAAAACTAGACATAAAAACGTCTGGAAATTTTCTAAGAAAATGTGCTCAAAATTTCTGAAAATTTTCAAAAAATTTTTATTGCAATAAGCTTATATACTTTTAAATCATAACTTTGTTTCAAAAATATCAATTTGATAATTGTAGTATTTAGGTATTCTTTAAACATTTGAACCAAAATAACAAAATTATAAAGACCCAAAAGCAAAAAATAAACATTTTTTCGTAAAACTTTTATTTATGTTATCATTCAAGAAAATTTTATAATCAGTTTTAATAATATCAGATTTTTGCAATTGTTAAAAAAGCTCAGAATACTCTATTTCAAGCTTTTACTTGATTCGTCTACAATATAAAATCTTCTCAAAAAATTATTTTTTGTATTTTTTAGATTAAAAATTATATTGTGTAATTTTTTTTATAAAGCCTTTTAAAGCAATAAAATATCAAATAGAAAACATATATGCATGCTCATAAAAATTTCTTTTTCATTTTTATGTGTAAAAATTGCATATAAAAAAATTTTTTATAAAAGTTACATTTTAACAGCACTACCTGTGCTAGATTACAATAATTTATCTAAAAAGGACTTAAAAAAATACCTTCCACAAAAAGTTGCAAGGAAACCTATTATATTTTTCAATACACATTAAATTTTTTTTTGTTTTTTGTTGTTGGTTTTTTTAATTGATTTTATAGCGGCTGACATCTTGTTTTTCCACTGCCAACAACTTATATAAAATTTTATATAAAATTTTTTCCTATCAGTAAAAAATGCCCAATAACACAGGTCAACAATAAAAAATTTTTATGGTGCCGAGCAAACAATTTATTTTTTGTATAGCATTTCTCATTTTGATTTCAAATATGCAACTCATTTTTCAACATCACGCCAAGTTGTAAAGATATTTGGGATCCAATCTTGAGTATTTGGGGTAAAATCCTTAATATTGTCTTAAAAAAAATTTATTCAAAAGTCAACCTGGGTATCAAAAGAAGAATATTTAGAAAAAAATTTTTTCCTTAAAATTAATTGACAAAAAAAATATGTGAAAAAATGCTCAATACTTAAAAAAATTTTAACAAATTTTTTTAAGTATTGGGCATTTTAAAAGTTTCTCAGCAATAATACAAAAAGTACTTATTTTTATTACAAACGACTATAATTTTTAGAATCTAAAAACTTTGTAACTTGCAACTAATTTAATAGACATTGAAAAATGTCACTCCCCCTTTTTGAGTTGTGGGTGCAAAACATGTTCAGCCTGAATGTCAATATGCAAAGCAAATAACAGGGTAAGACAATTTTTTGAAAATTTTAAAAACAAATTATCTTAGTTGCTTCTTTTAGCTCCAATAAAAAACTCAACAAAATAGCAAAAAAATGTTTTTCACAGTTGTTTTTTTTTAAATCTTTATAATCTGCTTCTCACCGTAAAATTATCTACAATTACCTAATATTACCTAAAATAATTACCTAATATTACCTAAAATAAGAGATTACCTAAAATAAGAGATTATCTAAAATAAGAGATAAAACTTTACTCACTACTTATCTTTTTTTTTGAAAGTTTCCAAAATTTTTGGAAAATTTTCATTTCAAATATAAATAACATAAATAAACAAAAAAAAAAGCGCAAACGGACAATTGATAATTTTAAATTTACTTAAAAATAATTTATTAATTGCAATGACTTACTAAATGGCAGGAAAAGTTACAAAAAAAAAAACAAATAAAAAGATTAAATGAAAAAAAAAGAGAAAATGTTCTTAGTTATATACAACAACCTCAAATAATAAAAAAAAAAAAGAATTTTATTTTTTAAAGTTAATGATATTTAAAAAATGATTGCACATCTTATATCTCTACTCATTAAAATAATTTTAAAAATTGTTATGGTCAGTTAGTTAATAATAATGTTATTAATTCTTGTGTGCGCAGATACTAATAAGTGGCAAAAACTTATTTAGGGAAGTCAAAAAAATATTTTTAGTCATTTTAAGTGGTCATTGACCATTGACCGGCTGTTATTTCCACACTGTGTGTATATATATATATATATATATATATATATATATATATATATATATATATATATATATATATATATATATATATATATATATATATATATATATATATATATATATATTTATATATATATATATATATACATTATATATATATACATATATATATATATATATATATATATATATATATATATATATATATATATATATATATATATATATATATATATATATATATATATATATATATATATATATATATATATATATATATATATATATATACATATATATATTTATATATATATATATATATATATATATATATATATATATATATATATATATTATATATATATATATATATATATATATATATACATTATATATATATATATATACATATATATATATATATATATATATATATATATATATATATATATATATATATATATATATATATATATATATATATATATATATATATATATATATATATATATATATATATATATATATATATATATATATATATATATGTATACATTATATATATATATATATATATATATGTATACATTATATATATATATATATACATTATATATATAAATATATATATATATATATGAAATAATTATAAAATATTACCTTCACATTGATTTGAAGTAACATTGAAAGTATAACTTTCTTTACAAACTAAAAAAAAAGTTTAAAATTTTTTGTATAATGAACTTCCAATGTACATTTTAACTTGTGGCTAAGAACCAGATTTGATAAAATAATCATTTGGAGAAAACTTGAAAGAACTTTAAATAAATGGTATTATAAACATAGGGATAATAAATAATCAACAACTATTTGAGCTAGGAAACATAGGATGTCTTTTTACATTCAATTAATCAAAATACTAATAAATATATAAGTTAAATTAAAAATTTATTATAAAATAATCCCATGTTTTACTCTGGTAACACATTTACGAACAAAGCACCGCAGCCTTTATTTGAATTTTATCAATACAACTACAGATATTTGTATTTTAAATTAAAAAAAAGTTAAAATATTTATTCAAGAAGTACTGATAAATGGTATACTAAATAGAAGAATGAAAATCTTTTAACAAATATCACTTAAAAACAAATTTTTAAATTATTTTTAATGTTAAAAATGAAAAAGATAATTTTTTACAAACAAACTATCAATTTCTTGGTTTTTCTAAAAAAAAAAACACCAATCAACCTATACTATATAGAATTATAATCACAAATACAAATATTTAAAAAAAAATTTAATCAATCGCAATAAAAATACAAATACAACAATATAGCCTACTATTACCAAATACAAATAAATTTAGGTATTTGAACTCAATCCTGATCTGGAGATAATGAAAGTTTCTATCCACCTGACACAACAGTTCTCCTTTTTTATAAGTTAGATTTAACAAGTTGGTCAAGTCTTGTGTTTCTGGTTTTCTGCTGTCTTTTTCATACTTTTTTTTGTACATTAAAAAATGTTCTTTCCATTGTAGATTTTGCTTGTTGAGTAAGAAAATTCAGCTTTTTCCTTAAGAATTTTACTTTTTTAAACATAGTCACAACTTTCCTTAAGGCTTTTCACATTAGCAGCCAACCACTTAAATTGATCCAGGATAAGCTCTTCTGTAGGCATTTTGTTTATTTGATCCACACTGTCACCAACCTTTTTATATTTTCTTGCATTCTAAACTTATTCTAATCTCAACAAACTTAATTCCCACTGTTTCTCATTGAACTATGAAGATTATTTTTAGACATCAATAAGACTTTTGTCTTATTAAATTATAATTTTGTTGTTAATTTATTTACCTAATAATAAATAATTTTTGAGTTTAATTATCAAAAGAACTTTATAAAGTATCAAAAGTCAGGTGACATAACATACATGTTATTTTACATGTTTTATTACACATACATCTTATTTATCTAAATTTCACTGCAATAAATCAAAGCTACAAAGCTACCTTAAACTATTATATCTAGCAAAAAAATAGGAGAAAACAGTTTTTGGCTGTGGTTGTTCTTTTCTAAGATATAACTCTTTCTGATGGTATTTTCTGTTTAAAAATGTACTTTATTTATTTTTTTTAGTGCATAATATAAAAAATCATAATTTGCAGGTGACCAAAAAAAAATTTTATTGATTTTTCTTATTATGTAGTGGGCCAGGTGGTAGACAATAGTAAAAAAATATACATTTCTAAAAGTTACATTATTATATACCATTTTATAACTTAAACATTCAGCTTCTATAAAATGCATATATTTTTTTACAACTATCATGAGATAACTAAGCTGTAGAATAAAAAAGCTTTTTTTTTAAAAAAAAAATTTTCAAACTTTTTTTTTATAATTTAAAAATATTTTTTGTGGCACTAATAAGCATAGAATAGATTTTAATTTTAAAACTTTTCTTTTTATTGTATACTTTAATAAAATTAAATATTTTCTTTCAAATGAGCTATTACAACACTTTTTACCACAAAAGTTATTTCAAATAAAATGATTTCAAATGACGCATATTTTAAGTACTTTTTTTAGTTAAAATTTCAATTATATATTCAAATACTTTTATGGTTCAAAGCGATCCAGTAATTTGAGACTTGAAATACATAGTTCAATATGTAAATTATCAATATAAATTTGATTTATGGTACGCGGATGTCTGCCTGGCCTCTAATAATGATTTTTAAAATTTGAATGATGTACCGGATTTTATGTGGCGAAAACATTGTATGTATTTTATTCTAAATGCAATAATTGGGTCTCTGCATGACTAGATTAGTGTTACAAACTTGTTAAATTTTTAATACATCTTAAAATACTTATTTATAAGATTTTGCAAATAAAATTCATATTTTTATATAGTTAAAACAGAAAAAGTATTCATATTTGTTCTTATATAATACAAAAAAACTTGAACTTTGCTGATTCTAATATTTTGGATACAGTTGTAAATGGCATAAATTTAACTTAATAAATAATAGCCTGTCTAATTTCGTAAAGCATCTTTGACAAAGGTATGTATGCAGAAACTCTAAAATTCATTTTAAAGAGAATAACAAACAATGACTACAAAATGAACTAATATCAGTTCAATTTGTAATTGATAATTAAAAAATTTTACTAATTGCTTCCATTGATAAACAAAACACAGGTCTTATCTGACTGTAGTAATTAGCAGGCCCTAGGTGAAATTTGATACTGTAAGTAGTAAAACAAAGAGAAGAAGATTGATGCCATTAGTTGTATCATACTTATCTTAAGAACTACTGTTTGTATCAATTTGCAGTTTGCGCCAAAATGGTCAACAAGATAGTTGCCAATACGATCCCAAAATTTATTAAAGTAATCATAATCAGAAAAAAATAATACAAAGTAAAGATTCTCAAACACAACTTGATGAACATGAAAAATTATTTTAAAAATACCACTATTTCAAGTTTCTTGCACAGTAAGTGTGTACATAGTATGTACACAGTAAGTATGTACACAGTAAGTATGTACACAGTAAGTATGTAAACGGTATGTATGTACACAGAAAGTATATACACAGTAATTATGTACACAGTAAGTATGTACACAGTAAGTATGTACACAGTATGTATGTACACAGTAAGTAAGTACACAGTATGTATGTACACAGTAAGTAAGTACATAGTATGTATGTACACAGTAAGTAAGTACACAGTATGTATGTACACAGTATGTATGTACACAGTATGTATGTACACAGTAAGTATGTACACAGTAAGTATGTACACAGTAAGTATGTACACAGTAATTATGTACACAGTAAGTATGTACACAGTAAGTATGTACACAGTTTGTATGTACACAGTAAGTAAGTACACAGTATGTATGTACACAGTAAGTAAGTACATAGTATGTATGTACACAGTAAGTAAGTACACAGTATGTATGTACACAGTATGTATGTACACAGTATGTATGTACACAGTAAGTATGTACACAGTAAGTATGTACACAGTAAGTATGTACACAGTAATTATGTACACAGTAAGTATGTACACAGTAAGTATGTACACAGTATGTATGTACACAGTATGTAAGAAACTAATTTGAATTAGCATATATCAATATGAAAATAATACAAAAAATACTGTTAATCAATACACCAAGATATTGAGTAAAACTATAAGGATATAATTGTTTGCTATTCTCATATTATTACACTCATCATGGCAACAATTTTACTATAATAATTTGTTGTATGTACTTTGGTTCAGATTTAAACTATTTTTAACACAACACCTACAAAATAATACTTTACAATTATCTAAGATAAATTAAAACTTGCTTCTTAAAAGACTGGAAAGCTGAACAAACAGGTAAATATTGGAGGTTATAGTATATCATTAATCATCTGTTATTTATATATTCTAACCTCCAATATTTGCCTGATACATAAACATATGATTTACTGTTATATTTTCTATATCATTATTATATAACAAATGACTTTTTATGATTATAAAAAAAATAATTTGGAGTAGGTCAACTTGATGATGATGATGATGATGATGATGATGATGATGATGATGATGATGATGATGATGATGATAATGATGTGATGATGATGATGATGATGATGATGATGATGATGATGATGATGATGATGATGATGATGATGATGATGATGATGATGATGATGACGATAATGATGATGATGATGATTAGAATAAATAAAGATATTTACTTTGATAAATGCAGAGATCATCAAATCTTGTAAACGTGTTTGTTGTTTGAAGGTCAAACTAAAAAGATTTATATATATATATATATATATATATATATATATATATATATATATATATATATATATATATATATATATATATATATATATATATATATATATATATATATATATATATATATATATATATATATATATATATATATATATATATATATATATATATATATATATAAGTATATACATATATAAGCAATTAAATTAATACATAACTGTACAAGTTATGTCTGTATATGTAAGTTATTTAAAAAAGTGAGTGTTTCTATTTCTGTATTTTATGTATAATGTATTTTATATAACTGTATATATATATATGTATTTAATATATATAATATATAATATAATATGTATTTTATATAACTGCATTATTTTAAAAGAAATAAATGAATAAACTAATGCAAATATAACTTTCTGAATAACTGCTATACTAGTTGTAACTTTCCATAATATTCGACAAACTTTCAAAATGTTCTGGTACATTCAAGAATGTTTTGGTAGAGTGCTCAATGTTCTTAAAATAACAGAGCAATAATAAATTAGTAGTAAATCACTAATCAATTTTTTTTATTTTACACAATGTTTCATCAATAAAGACATATAAAGATTATTTATTGCAGGAAAACATACTTTAAACAAAATATTCAAGATACAACAAAATTTCTTTAATTTGTATATTTATTTATTAATTGTTCAAATAAAAGTAAAAATCAAATCAGAAATTTTTTGAGAAGAGTCTTCTAACATATTAATACTGTTTTTGAGATTTTTTCGCAAATCCAAGCTCAAAAAATAAAAAGCATTACACATTAAGAAAAATTGAAAAAAAAAGTAGCATTATACATTAAGGGAGAATCTTTCTGAAAAATGACTTCTAGAGAATCTCTTCTCTAGAAGTCATTTTTCAGAAAAATTGAAGAAATTGTTTTATAGACTTGCTGTCAATGCCTTCAAGGAAGCAATCTTGGAATTCAAAACTTAAAATTACGTGACACTGACTTGCAAACAAAAGAATGCAACAGTTAATACAGATAAGAAATGAGATGCAATTTTATTGTTGAACAACTATCAAACAAGAGACGGTTAATTAACTTTTTTTGACCAAAAAGTAGTTATAAGAAACTTTGCAAACTGAAATTAATTCTACTTTGAGAAAAACCACTAGATGGATTTTTGCTACAAACTAGATGACTTGTAAAAAATATGTATCTAATGGTTTTTGTTTGTTAGATGACCATTCATTATAATGCATAGATTTTTAAGTTTAGAAAATAAATGCTATCAAAAGGACTCTTTATTAAAAACATTTTTTGGACAAACAATACAGAAGAGAGGCACAAACAATACAGAAGAGAGGCACAAACAATACAGAAGAGAGGCACAAACAATACAGAAGAAAAATTAAAATGATGACAAGCTATTTAAAGAGTATATCACAAGATAGTGAAATGTATTTATGGAAAGTACATAAAAGCATTGATGGATGAGATATCGAAAATAAATTATCACTCTTACCATAGCTTGAAGTGATTAAAATGTTTTGAATCCTTTGACCTTTGTAACTCGTTTTCCTGACAACCCTAATTATTTACCTTCACTCCATGATTTATATCTGGTCTCTGATTCTAGCTTGTGTTCAATTTCTCCTTTTTCTCCTTTAGATGGTTCTGACCATGTAACAATCTCTTTAAATCTTTCATCCCCTACTTCCTTTTTGGACTCATCCTATCATCGCACTACTTACTATCCTAAAGCTGACTGGGATTCTTTTCATGAGTTTCTTAGTTATGGTCATTAGGTTGATATCTTTTCTTAATTCTCAGTTGAAAAATATGCTTCCTATATAACCTCCTGGATTCAGGCAGGAATCAAAGCTTTTATTCCTTCTCGCCAGTTCCAACTCAGGCCTCATTCTACTCCATGGTTTTTACCCTCTTGTGCTTTATCAAATCGAAATCATTTTTTTTTTTCATATTTTTTAACAGAAGAACCTCCTTGAGAACAAATAGCTATTTATTATTGCAAGAAATCAATGTAAAAAGGTGCTGTCAGATGCTAAGCTCCATTATTTATATTTCACTAAATCTCATATCTTATCTCAGAAGTTAGGCTCTAGAAATTTTCAAAAAATCTTTGATAGCATCATTAACAAGAGTAGGTCTAACATTCCATCTCTCATTCATGGGACTGATCTAACTACCTCTTCCAAAGATGAGGCAGAACTATTTACAAAGAACTTTACTTCTAATTCGACTCTTTAATCCTATGGCCATTCTCTTCCTTCCATTTCAATTAAACAGGTTAATCCATTGTTAATCATTCAAGTCACTCCAGTTTCCATTGCTAAAGTCATATCTTGATTAAACTCTTCTACAGCTTGTGATGCAGACAATATTACTGTCATAGTCTTACAATATTGTTCTCCAGAACTCTCTTCAATTCTCTCTAAACTATTTAATGTGCTTGAATGAATCTTGTTTTCCTCCCTGCTGGAAAATTGCATCTGTTGTTCCA